ATTTTCACACCATCGACGATATTTCACGGGAAGAAGCAACACAGATTAGAAGGAATATGCAAGACGTCCTCGTCTGTCATGTCAACTTTACGAAGCCTGAAGAACTCGACGAAATGGTGGGCCAGGTTTATTTGAAATCTTCCTCTAGGAAGTGTGTTTGTCTGAAGTTGCCAAATATGCGGTGGATGGGAGACAAAATTCTGGTGGACACATTTGGTGACCAAATTTGCGACTCCTGCTTCTGGAAATTGGAGTGTGCCATATTCTGGGATACAATACCATCATTTGCCATGGAATGGCCTCAATAATTCGCTTTCTTATTATATTAACAACTCTATCATTCAGTCGTAATGTAATAAACAAATCTATCTTGAGTAGACGATATCAATATCAAATAACTCTACCATGAGGTCGATTTAATTTAAACAAATCTACCACAAGTGTAAACCTACCCTATTGATTTCAAATAAGTCTACCATGAGGAAGATTTGATTTAAACAAATCTACCACAAGTATAAAACTACACTATTGATTTCAAATAAGTCTAGCTTTCATATTAAACATGATTTTCGTCCATGCGAACAATCTAACAACGTATCAAGACGAACATCAACAATACAGCCAAAAAATAAAGTTCTGACAATAACATCAACTAAGCTGAAGTGTCTCCGTAAACCATTGAGCCGGTAATTCATCCTTCATCTCAGCAGCATATTTCAGTCGAAGCCCTGCAACTGTCTCATCATTAAGAGTATCCATGGGACATCCAAGAGCCAAACATTCGATAATCTTCAAGGTAAAGACCCCACAATCGCCAGTTTGTACGTTTTGAGGAACGTTCTTCATAATGAAGGTGTGAAAGGTTTGGTCGTGTGTCCATTCCCCGGGAAACAATTGACAAAGCAATAGTGGGATCATCCTCGCGTATGCCCTCACCTCCTGTTTCAGTTTTCGATCCGGATATGCTGTTGAAATGCAGTCATATATGTGTACCCTTTTCCTCGGAAGGTGAACCTCAACGGCAATCCAATGCTTACTTCCGATATTGTGACATATGTACAACAGATCCACATCCCTGAACCATATCTTATTAGTGACTGCAAAGTCAGGAGATCTACCGTAGGCGACGTCAATGTAACCACTCCGGAATGCCCATTTATCCGGATTGGGTAAGAAGTCTCGCTGAAATTCTACAAGCCACTGGCCGGTGAAGAGCGGGTCTAAGAAAGCCACCCTACCATCTCTTTGGAAGGGACACGGGTCTCTCAAATATCTTTGTCGAAACATATGCATCCCCGCTGTCATATGCTGCAAAAATAAATCTACCATTCATTATCGTAAATCTACCATTCATTATCCTAAATCTACCATTCATTAAGTCTATCACTGAAACGTTTACCAATTTGGAAACAAATAAATCTACCAAAGTGAAAAAGTTACCCGATCGCCCAACCAGCCATATTCCAAAATAGGCTAGTCGGCTTTAGCAGTCATCAATTGAAGGAAGAACTCTATTATTGGGTCAGTGTCACCAACAGCATTATCCCTGCAACAATGACAAGCTTATAAACAAGTCTACCATATGGAGATTATAATGAAATCAAAAGGAAAGGATGCTTACAGTTCTGGAGTTATAAAGTCTAACAAAGCTGAATATTTACTTCGCTCAACTTCTTGGAACGGATCGTATTGTCCTTCTCCAGCAAAAACACCAAACACTATGCGTTTCACCGCAGAACTGCCAACAAAAGGAGACTTTTGGGTGGGAGCAAGATTGCGTGCCTTCCTTAGTCCATGGGCATTCTCCTCGTATACATCATCCTTGCTACAAACTCCTCGTATGG